TGAAATTAAACACTGTCAAACATCAGATATTAATGATAGGAGCCACATATCTCTCGATGACGAGTATTTTCCACTGAAGCAACCAAATGAAGAATTTCAGACTTTGCTTTATTGAACAGTGACGAGATTACAGATAATCTAGTAGTAAGAAATGCCTTTGGGCAAAATGCAGACTGTCCCAGTTTGCACTAATAGAGAATATAGATCAAAACAGATCTGATAATGTGTTTTTATTTCAGAAGTGACAGTTTTGAAAACCTAAGGGAACCAATTACTTAAATCAGACACAGAACTTACGGGCTTGATAATTGATGGAGCTTGAAAATTACTGAGAAGTGCCCAAGCAGGTCATGCAGAGAAACAATCCAAATCTAAAGAGACGAATTACAGCTTTGGCAGCACATAAGAATAATAGTTTGCAATGAATGGAGAATATGGCTACTCATTTTGAAACCTACTGTGTACGGGTGTTATATTACTATAAGCTAACTGGAGAGGTACACAGATCAAAATCAACAAGTGTACTTAAGCTACACTCAAGAAATCTTGAAAGAATTAACTGAGCAAACTAAACAGCTACAAAATTGTACTAAATTTTATTTTTAAAGGAAAGATTAATTAATAACGGGACACCATGATCACAGTATATCAAATGATAGTTTATGACTAACATGATACGTTTAGTCAGCTAACTTCGCCAACGGAGGGCTGATGTGGTTTAATTTTTGTATGACCCTTACAGGCACGCAAAGAGTGGTAGCATACAGTAGGTAACAGCTGGAAGACAACCATCAGCACAGTGGAGGTTCGGATCCACCCCGAGAGTACGCCTTACAATTGCAGTAACAGAAATTAAGTAAAACAGCAGGAGTTGAAAGGTTACGGTTATTGTGATTCACATCAGTCATTTTTGTAAGTTGGTGGCAGAGTTGGAAACAGGGTCATAATTTGAAAACTTCTTATAACTCATAGCCCCCAGGACCTCTCTGTTTCTAAACAACTATGATCCATCAAAGTAACAACACTGTGAAAGCAGATGATTACAGGTTTAGAGTATATCATGAGAATGGAAAGTCTCTAAAAACAACTGTTTTAAGTTTAACCATTTAACTACAGTTTAACTATATTTTAAAAGTACAGAGAAGGGGATGATACTCAGAAGACACTTTGTTTTAAGTAGCTTCAAGGGACTGGTTTGCCTACCACACAAGATAAACCTTCACAGATGACACTTACTCTTTTCCAACACATCAAGGACTTGTGAGTAAGGGAGAAAATGTGGGAAACCATATAATTTGAGACAGAACAGCACTGTCTCATGACCCTGAAGGATCAGCGCGTCCTGTGCCTCCCTTCACTGTTCTCAGGAGATCAGCTGTTTTCACACATCCAGCTGCAAAGATCCTGGAAAACAGCAACTGTGAACTGGCATTCACAAAGCCGCGAATCCAAAGCTGATTGGCTCTAGTAACTTTTGTATTAGTGTATAAGGTATTCACTTGAGCAATAAAAGGATTCTGATCGAGCACAAGATTGGGGTCCGTGAAGTCATTCACCACAAGGAAACTAACCAAACAAAACAAGTTATTTTACTTATCAACAAACACAGCAAGCTAGGTACAAATAAATAGCCAGTGGAAGCTATACTGGTGATCCATAAGACAAATGTGATTCTGTAACAGGTTTCCATTCAGACTTGTCTTGTGCAAGTGGTATTCGACTTGCTCACCTGCGACAAGAGGCAAGTGAGACTTTGTCCCCCAAGAGCTCCCATTTTGATTTTTGCTTAAAAAGGGCAAAATTCTTTTTATAGTACCTAAGTTGTTCCAGGAAATCCCTACACTTGGACGAAGAAATTGTCACCTTTTCTGGATTCCCTAGCTGTCTTGGCATACTGTTCCCAGATCACCTACAGTGCACACACACAGTTTGCTCTGAGACACAGGGAGACATGCTAAGCCTCTGCTGAGAGGTATTACCCTGTAGACAGAAAATACACATTAGCAGTAAAAACCAAATGATACCATATAATACCACAGTCATAAAGCATTCTTACTATCTGAACCCATTATAGTTTGGGATCTTTCCTCTGAAACTTGCTTTCTTCATGCCCACCTTTCTGCAGCCTTTGCTGGTCCTTTGATCAAAATCACCATGCATCATTAAGCTTCCTTCTAGCTCTGCTGAAGAAGTTGTAGCAACAGACAGTATTATTCTCTGCCATTCCCAGCTTAGGCTCTTCAAACACGAGACATCGGCATTTTAAAACCAACCCTTATAAAAGAAATGTGGCACCCAAAAGGTATTTTGTTATGAACAGTATCTTATTGCTCTTATATACATTTCTGCTAATGACATTCAATGACAAACTAGTATGCGTATAGATTTGAAATACACCAACAGAACCTTAACTTCTATGAAATAACTGGACAGATTTTGCAAGCCACATTAAAAGCACTGTGCTACAGAAGGGCATGTTTTATGGGAAAAATGTAAACCAGAAAACTTCATACCTATCACTCAACAGCGTTATTGGCAAGGGTGAAGTAACCATTACAGGGTTATGCCAGCACTTTTCATTCCCTGTGTCTTTAGTCAATACAGGGTTCCAACAAAAGCGGATGTGAAAATTGCTTTCTACTCATGCTGTGAACAGGGCCACTAACTTAAACGTTATATTCAAGTTGGTAGAAGTATCCTGGCATTATTCTTCACAGCTCCTACATTGCCTTCAATTACACAGCCCCCTCCATGCAAAGACTGCAGTCACAAACTCAAAGCTGTCAACTACAAATCTGCAACAATATCAAAGAGTTTTGATAGGCTAGAGAATATTACCAATACTTTTTCTGGTCAGAATTGTAGCTATTGCTGCTGTACTCATTTTACAGGCTACTCCGTCATCTGAACCTGAAGCCTACTGAAATCTGAAGGTCTGAAGGTCAAGGCACATGTTCCGCTCAGAGCAAGAGCAACACAACACACTATGCAGACTTAGTAACAGCAGCCCTTTAGAATAGCCAGGAGTGAAAATAAAGCCAAGTAAAACCTTCTTAACTGATCAACCCCAAGTACTGAAGATAAAATTCTGCAGCATGGATTATGGTGACAGTATATGCACTGTGAGGCTCACTGGTGATTGTCTATTCCAGTCCGTTATTCTGCGAGCAGCCTGATGAGTGTTTGAGAAGACCCCACAGCTTAGTACAGCTGTTTAAACATCTATCTACCCAAAAATGACAAGCCAAACTTCTGCTTTGAAATGCAATTTTTCCAATGCTCTATTTTTGTATGTAAAGATAATCAGTATTTAATTTAATGTCAATACACTGAGATTTGAAGGTGTTCTCACTATACACCACTTGTCAAAAGCACTTTGGGAGTTTCACAAAAGACACAACTCAAGACCTTCAGATTTAAGATTTTATTTAGACACATCCAGCATGGTACACAAAGGCAGCTATTCTTTTTCCATTGAAACATGCTGCGCAGAAGACTTCAACTCTGCAAGAAAAAAAAAAACGAATTAGTGAATTGAAGAACTCAGTCACCTTTGAATCTCGAAAAGCTCTAAAGTTATGCTTTAACTAGAATTCTGATGGGCTTTTAGGCTTCATCTGGAGTACTCTGTCCAGTTCTGGGCTCCCCAATTCAAGAAAGATGAAGAGCTACTGGAGAGAGTCCAGCAGAGGGCTACAAAGATGATGAGGGGACTGGAGCATCTCTCCTACGAGGAGAGGCTGAGGGAGCTGGGCTTGTTCAGCCTGAAGAGAAGGCTGAGAGGGGACCTTATAAATGCTTACAAATACCTGAAGGTTGGGTGTCAGGAGGATGGGGCCAAGCTCTTTTCAGTGGTGCCCAGTGACAGGACAAGGGGCAATGGGCACAAACTGAAGTATAGGAAGTTCCATCTGAACATGAGGAAGAACTTCTTCCCTCTGAGGATGATCTGTGTGATTTGCTTCATCCACCACATGCTTTTGTAGCAGAGGCTTTGAGTTACATGAAATCACACAGCTCTAAATGCTCAAGTTCAATGAAAGTCTGCCACTGATGTTTTTTTCCTTTTCCCTAGTCCAGGGAGCCAAAAACAGCAGAGTGGCACAAGAATTACACAGATGACTTCAATTCATGCCAATTACAAGATTCCAGTGAGGACTGTTACTTCCTTTCAAGCACTACCTGGGCCATTCCAGTTCCTCAAAAGATATATTGTTTCTCTGATTATATAGCTCACAATATTGGGTATTTCCAAAGTGGAATCACACTGAGATAAATTGAAGTGGCTTTTCAACTGGAAATGGCATCCTTGCACAGTCTAAACTATGTCTGAGACTTACTTTTGTCTGCTGAGGTTCATCAGCAAGCAATAAATAAAACAACTTCTGCTGTCAATGACCTTTTCTTAAGCACATTTTATCCTGTCAATGGTTAGGAATATTCTATGTAGATAGCGTGAGTGTTTTGACATGTTTGAACTGAAGTTCAAGAAATCTTGACTTCCACTGAGTTCTAACTGGCACATCAGAAAGCGTTTACAGTATCACAGTTTCTCATACCATTTTGTTCACATCACACATGCCAGTTATTCCTACAGAATATACAAAGTGTAGCTTTATGCCTCCTCAAAGAAGATGGTAGACATGGTTTTGGTTATACTTATTATCCAAATGAAATCAGTAGCACTATTCCACCAGTTAGCCCAGCTGCAGGTTGTCAAGCAGCTGCAGTCAGACAGGTGCAGCATTTGGGGAACCAAAGTTCACAAGTCAATGGGAGTGCAGCAGCCCTTGAAGCAAACTTAAACCTGCTCATTATTTGAGCTTAGATGCAACTGCAGACCACAACTCTAAGCACCTGGACTATGAAAGGCTGAAAATTGTAATACAGGTTTTAGAGATGTTAGACTCTTTAAAGCTCAGTTTTGACCATGGATTCCACTATGCCATAAAAACTAACAAAATCAGTTACCCAGTTAGTGCCATTACAGTCTGTCCTCTTCATTTCTTAAGCAACTGGTGTCTGACTATAACGAAAGGGGCAACAAATCCACTTCCAAAGAATCCACACATTAGTACAAGTAATCGCCATTTGTTGTCCACAGAAAATGGAAGGTTCTAGAAGAGAAAAATGGATTTTAGTTTTGCAGTCAATACAGTAATTACTTCCTCAACAACTTGAAAATGGTGAAAAACTCAGAGCATGAACAGGTGAGTCAAACTGAGAAAAAATCAATACTCAGACTCGAAACAACACCCCTTCCTCTCCAGGAGAGAAACACAGAAATTAATAGCGTGGATGTGACCACTGGAGGTTGTTTTGTCCACTCTTCCCCTCTCCCCCGAATTCAAAGCAGGGCCAATTTGCTGAAGGCCTTGTCCGGCCACGTACAAATGTCACTGAACATACAGACCCCACTGCCTCTTTACGCAGCCTGTTCCAACATTTAATGACCTTCATTCTGAAGCTTTTCCTCATGTCCATTAAGTATGTAAAATCAATTTTTACATGCAGGACTTAGGAGAACATGGCAAGCGCAAGGTACATCAGAAAGCGTTTACAGTATCACTGTTGCCCCTCATACTGCAATGCTCATCATCTGTACCCCCCGAGGCAGAAGTTTGCAGGGAAGGACACCAAATTCACCGTCACCGCAACTCACACTGCTGCAGTCACAACGAGACACCCGAACATGCCCCCCTGGAGAGCTGGCAGCAGGGCGGCCATTACCCC